CAATGTGCAGTGTATTGACTATCAAAACTGTCCTATTAATCAGCTGTGAAACTGTCTCATTCATATTTATTTCTCAATAAAAAAATTTAAAAAAGATTTTAAAAAATAAATAAATCCTTAGTCTTCATTGGTAAGATATGCTCCAGAAAAGTTGAGAATTTTTTTCTCGTTCTGGGAATATGTTTCATGTCTTCATTTCTACTCTATCAGAAAAAACCCTACTTATTATACACGATTAGGGCTAGCGATTTAGAGCAGTATTAGAACACATGCTTGGCCTACTCAAAGCCCTGGGCTTGAACCCAGCAGCAACTACAAAACAAGTGAAGTCCCATAGTGTGGAGTCATTTATAGTATTTGCTCTTCCAATTCCACTCAAGCCCAAGTCATAATTCAGAGAGAATCTGCAATGTAACTTCTACAAAAATGAATAATACCATAAGGCCCAGGGAGCAGAGCCATGGGTGAGTGTAGCGTGACCAGCAGGAGTGCATTGCGCTTTCACTGAAATCACACCATGTGCGGCGTTGTCTTATCACTAATTTGGGCTTCGGTTTCCAGGTAAGAAGCAAGTCTATTCAGGAACGGGAGGAGGCACACAGGAGGAAAATGACAACAGCCGCTGACAAATTTTAATCATTATCATTTTATTTTGGTCACATCTCCCCAAGTACACGTATTGAGTTTGAAATAAATGGTTGTAGTCTCTCTGGATGAACGACAGTTTATTTTCTACTGTAGCATTCGTTATGCTGTGTATTATCACATTGCACGTTCTCCACTTCATCCAGGAGCTCGCCAAGCAAGAGAAGATTCTATTCTCCAAATATTTCTCAACCCTGTACTTGGTACATAGATTTCAGTCAGAAGATATTTTTCTTTATCTACATTTTAAAGCTTTTACAATAAAGGAACTTTGCAAACACATGAAATAATCACCCCATCCCATGACTTTGTTGTAGCAATTTTAATTTTTGCACATTGTAAGTTTTTGTGCAGAATTCACATTTTGTATGCCACTATTTTGGCATTTACTTATCCATGTCCTCATTCATTCATTGTTTCAAAAATAATAAATAAAACACCTATTCTGTGATGGGCACTAATCTAAATGCTAGGTATTAAATTATTAAATTAATTAGTAATCATTAAATTAATGATTTAATCAGACTAGATTAAGAGGTACTTAGAGAAGTAGAAATGCCTTATTTCTGGATATATCTGTGAAGGTGCTTCCAGATGACATTGACCTGTGAGCTCCTGACTGAGTGACAAGATCCTCTTAACACACAGAGGTACCAGCTCATTGTCCAGGGTGCTGCATACAATGAAAGTCAGAGCTGAGGCAGGCGTGCTGTGTTCCTTTTCTCCTGGAGCTGGAATGCCATACTTTTCGTGCCTTTGAACATGACCCTGGGACCAATATCAGAGAACTTTCACTCTTCTCAGACTGTAAGCTTTAGATGAGAAGTACACCACCTTGTCTCTGGTTCTGAAGACTGCAGCACAGGACCATCTATGCCACAGACTTCCAGGTAGCTCTAGCTTTGCAGATGGCCTGAGACATCTCAGGCCTCATGAGTACTTGAATTGATTCTCTTAATAACTCTCTGTCTCTCTGTCTCTGTGTCTGTCTGTCTGTGTGTCTCTCTCTTATCAGTAGTATCTATCATTTTTCTATTTACTATGTATGTAATCTAATATCTATCTTCTATCTATCTATCTATCTATCTATCTATCTATCATCTATCTATCTATCTTTCTATCTATCTATCCTTAATGCATAAAAAACAGATTCAGTTTCTATTTTCCTGGAGCTCATGAAAAGTGAAAGAGCATTTACTTATCCAATAACCATAAGTAAGTATAAAGCTAAAACTCAACCATATTACCATTTGATAAGTGCTATGCTGATATGGACATAATAAATTTTAACAAGTGTTATTAAAAATATCAAAGGAGAGAGACGTAAACACTGGAAAATATTAAAAGGGAGAAAACAGAGAATATTTTAGGAAAAAGAAGGAGCACAGCAAAAGGTTCATTGCATTAAAAAAAAGACAGAAGGAGGTAGGGAAATGGGGTACAAATAGACTGGCCAGTGTGCCCCCTATTCTCCACAGGAGGAAGTTATTCCTCCATTGTGTCTCTGACTGACACTTCTTTTCCTATTCCAATTTCTTTCTCAAAAATTTCATTACTTCTTAGGTTGATGCTTTGGATTTTCCTCTAAATCCTTCTTTCACACATGTACTATCTTTTTCCCCCAGCTTTTCAAATTTGAGAATTTAAATTTAATGCCATCAACGATTTGATACTTTTCAGTCACTGTCTTATTTTAAACATATTCAATGTACATTTTAATTAAGTGCTTACTTTATTTTAATTCCTCACAAACTAGCCACACCATATTCATTTCTACTGAATTTAAGTATTATTTTTCTCTAAGATTTGTTTTTCTATTTCATAAATGTCACAGGATTAATGATTCAAATTTTTATGGATTCTGGGATTTTGCAGCAGGTCAGAAAAGGCAGAACATTTGATAATGTTCTTTTTCCTTTCACTGAATATATCATATTTCTAAGTTTATTCTTAATATTTCATATTTAAGTCTAATGTCCATCTTCCCCTTTAAATATTATGCTAACAAAGTAGTGTCAGGTTTGCTTTTATTTCTTCTCTTCCCATTCCATCTGCCAAGTAGCTGGCATTCAATAACCATTAAATAAATATTGAGGCGATTGTCTATTTTCTTGACAATATTTTTAAAAACTCCTCCACAGTTTTTTCTACTTATTTATTTTACTTTCTTTCTATTTGTTTTCAATGAGACATAATTTTGCATACCTACCCTCTAGCATGACACATTTTTGTGGAGCCAACTAACCTAACAGAAAATATTTTCACCCCAAATTCCTGCTTACTTAACAAATCTTTTCTCAGATCTACAATCTTAAACTAGGTTAATGTGTAAATTTGCAGGACAGTTCCCAGCATCAAGCTCTTCATGACCCAGCTCTATATAGAGAGTTCTTTTGCTGACCTGCACTTTGTCTTCAATCAAGGGCTCATTACAAACCACATTTTATGTATGTTATGACTGCATCAGCCTACATCACACATGTTGTAAATAAAAAAGGTCCGGGGAGATGGATCAGTAGAATAAGCACTTGCCTGGCAAGCACAAGGCCCTGAGTTCAATCCCCAGTTCTGGAAAAAAAAAAAAAAAGGTTGGAATGGAACTATTATTGTAATGTATGTTTACATGTGATCCTATTTCAAATAAGACATAAAAACTTTTCAAATAATGAGAATGAACCTCGGGGCTGGAGAGATGGCTCAGTGGTCTAAAGCACCTACTTAGAACAAGTTTAGCAAAGCACAAGGACCGCGGTTCAATCCCCCAGCACCACATGCCAGCCAGCCCTGCCCCCTGGTGGGCTGAGCTGGTCTCTCTCTCTCTCTCTGTCTCTCTCTCTCTCTCTCTCTCTCTCTCTCTCTCTCTCTCAAATAAATAAAATTAAAAAAAAAAAAGAGACTGGGCGTGGTGGTGCGCGCCTGTAATCCCAGTGCTTGGGAGGCTGAAAACAGGAGAATCACTGAGTGCAATCTACATAGTGAGACCCTGTACACCTTGTCCTAAATTCAGAACGGAAGGAAGGAAGGAAGGAAGGAAGGAAGGAAGGAAGGAAGGAAGGAAAGAAGGAAGGAAAGAAGGAGAAAGAAAGCAAGTAAGCAAGCAAGCAAGCAAGCAAGCAAGCAAGAAAGAAAGAAAGAAAGAAAGAAAGAAAGAAAGAAAGAAAGAAAGAAAGAAAGAAAACAGAATAGCTGATATTTTATCTGGTATAGGCTTCACATCTCCCAGAGAACAAATGGGTAAAATGAAAATGTATCTATTAAATAATATTTGCTTTCTGATGTCAAAGTTGGTCTTAATTGATTTCCATGCCTCTGATAGACACTTGTATTCTTTAATATGCACTCTGATAATCAGAACTAGCAAATTTTTAATATCTCAATTTCTTCAGCAGTATTTTATTTAAAAAAAGATGATCCTGTTCATTAGTCCAACACAATTTCAGATTTTCACTTAATGAGTTCTGTAAAATGTATGACTTAAATAAATAACACATCAAGATTGCATGACCTCACTATCATGTTAGACTTAAGGCTAGAATTACATTATCCAATCTTTCTTTGCTAAGACAGCAGGCGTTTTTCCTCATTTATGCTACAAATATTTCTCCTATTTTTTTTTGCCTCTACCTATCTTTCTAGTCACTGAAGTTATTAAGTTATAATTCAGAGACTAAACACTTTTGCCTCTGTTACACACTAGCTAGACCTCTTGTTTCTAGATTTACATGTTTCCTATGTTTCAATATTAACCACAAGTGTATAGCAATACCCATGCAAAGAGAATTCCCAATCCTTTCTCCTTATTGTTTTTTTATGATAAGCCTATTAATTTTTCTACCATTGTACACAGTAGGAATTCTCAGTGAAATGAATAGGAACTTAAAAATAGTATATTACCACATCACTTTTTTTTTAAATAGCAAAAGAAGAATCTTTTTCTTCCCCTAAATATGTGTTTCTTTCACTATTGCAGAAGGTGCAAAATGTTCATTGTTATTTGAGGATTCTAAGTTCACTTCATTTTTATCTTTTCCTCCATTTTCAAATGCATTGCCATCTTTTCCTTCATATTTCTTCTTCACAAGATAAATAATTACAACTTGTAAAATAATTGATGCAAATTTTAAGGATGAGCTCAAGCTTATGATGGCATTTCTATAAAAGAAGAAGAGAAAGATTAGATTATTGTTTCAAAGTATGTGTAATAATGTATTATACTTTTCTGTAGTATGCAAATTTTATAGAGAAAAAATGAAATTATACACAAAAAATGAGCTTGTCTTTTGATTTTCTATGGTTTGAACATGACATAATTAGCTTCCATTCTTCTGTGAACACACATGAGATTGATTTCACATTTCATTACAAAATAATCTTGCTGTTAGCTGATCCTGCTCAACCGTAGTGTAACACAAGCTCTCTAAGCATATTGACAGTGAGTTCTGAACTATCATGTTTATAGGTTAGGTCAAGTACATTAAATACAATTTGAACTTACACTGTGTTCAATTTGCAAGGACTTTTTTGGGATATAACACCATTGTAAGGTGAGAATCAGTTCTAGGTTAGTAAGAAGAGTGAATACATGGAGGAGGAGCTACACAAAATGAGTAACTGAAAATAAAAGAAATACTTTTACTTTTCTTACTCTTCATTGATATAACAGATAAATATGCTCAAAATATCGCAAGAACCTGTTTGAATGTGTAATAGATACCCTTCTATACATGAACTTACAAATACATATACAATAATGAGAAAATGGATGGAGAAGAAGAATTAAGGTCATTTTGTTACTATCAATAAAGGATATAGTTTTATTTGGGAGTGAAATTAGATCAAATATAAGTGTACATTGCAACTTCTAGGACAAGTAATAAAAATATTTGATGTTTCACAACTTTTATTCTAAGAAACAAGAGATTTAAAATTATAAGCAAGTCTCCACTGAAGCCATAATAGAAAAAGAGTGAAAGACACAAACAGGAACTAAAAATAAAGTCATGGTTTGCAACTGTACCAACACCACACAAGGAATATAAACATAATGTATTGTAAGCATGTGCTACTAAAAGTCGCTAATTTAGAAAAATGATATTGGAAGACCAAAATAAAATTCAAACAGAACAAAAGAGCACAAATTATAGCAGATACCAGTAAGTTGAAAACAAGATATCATTGCAGAAAACCAAAAAAAAAACCTACTTCGCTCATCCGATCAATATCTGTAAGTTTCTGACAAGGGAAAGTAGGAAAAAAATAAAGCACACAAATTACTAATATCAGAACTAAAAGTGGATATATTACTATAGAAACTATGGACATCAAAAAATAATAAAGGAGGGGCCGGGGAGATGGCTCAGTAGAATAAGCGCTTCCCTGGAAAGCTCAAGGGCCTGAGTTCAATCCCTGGTTCTGCCAAAATAAATAAATAAATAAAGGAGTACTATGGGAAATACTTATAATTTTAATAACCCAGATGAAAATAATGAATTCCTTGAAAGGTATAATCTACCCAAAGTCAGAAAAGAATAGACAATCTGAATACATACTATATTATGTTATGTTACATTATGTTATATTTAACAAAACTGAATCAGTAATATTTGTAACCTTTTTGGGGTCGCTGAGAGAGCTCAGCAGTCTAAAGTGCCTGCCTAGGTAAGCTTAGGCAAAGCACAGGGACTGCTGTTCGATCCCTGGCACCACATGCCACAGCAGCCCTACCTCCAGGTTGGGCTGAGCTAGCTATAAATAATAATATTAATAATAATAATAATAATAATAACCTTTTGAAGCAGAAATCACAAGGTCCAAATGAAGTCACAGGTGATTTATATCAAAAATTGTACAAATTTTCTACAACCTCCCTTCCTATATCATTCTACTAGGCCATCATTAACATAACCAGATGAGAACACTACAAGAAAAAGGAAAGGATAGGCTATCATTTTTCATGAATACAGACACAAAACTTTTCAACGAAGTAGGAAATTTAATTGTGCAGTTTATTTAACTGTCATTTACTTAATGATAAAATGTGACGTATTCAGATATGCAAAGCTTCTTCAGTATTCAAAAACCCTTTAAGACAAGGGTCTTAAACCCCAATGCTAAACTAGTTCGAGCCCAAGGCCTGTTAGGAACCAGATTGCACTGCAGGAAGTGACAGGCAAACCAGCACAGGAAGCTGCATTTATGTTTATACTGCCTTCTGCACCCCAGCTCCTGCGTGATCTGTATTAGAGGCATTATATTCTTATATAACTACACAGCCTACTTCAAGCCTTCAAATTTGAGCATCAGGGGGCCAGGGAGATGGCTCAGTAGAATAAGTGCTTCCCTGGCAAGCACAAGGACCTGAGTTCAATCCGTGCTTTCGAAAAAAAAAATTTGAGCAACAGAGCTTACTCATTACACTTTTTTTTTGGTGGAACCAGGGATTGAACTCAGGCCCTTGCACTTGCCAGGGAAGCGCTTATTCTACTGAG